GGTCTTTCTTCTAACGGAAGCGGATTTGAAAGAGATTCTGAACCAGGCACATGAAGCACTACAGGTTTGATGATTAATTAATTTATCTTCATTTGTCACTCTTCGAACTTGTCTAGGCTGAAGCAGAGATCGTTTTTATTCTAGCCCGTTCAATAAATTACTATACAAAAGTATCTATAGTAATTAATGAAATCAGACTACTTTATTACTGTTCGAATTGGTTTGAGATTGAACATGGCTAAATAAATGGATATCACGCTTCGTGATTTTGGGGGAAAGATGTATTCTTACTGTAGTTGCCTGGACTTCGATAAAGACTGCTTGGCGCCCATTAATCTCATCTTCCACAAACTGAGAGTGTTAATTGATATATTATATATCTAGCATTAATTTAGTGGAAAATGTTAACCTAGTCTATCAGGAATCGGAAAGCAAGCTGAATATAAATTAAAAGATGACTGACCTGACAAATCCAGATATTTTGGTTAACCATGAATGCGCCTCATCAAGGCCTAAATCAAATGGAAAATTGCTGAAAGCACTCGTCTGAACAAGCCAATTTTTTTCTTTTTCAAACGTAAACTGTCCTATGCTTTACGTTTCTAAGGTAGCGAGAAATTTGGATTGAAGTTATAAGCGATCCCATTCTACGATTGGCTTTTGACGCACCATGGAAGTGAAAATACTAGTTGCTTTTATTAAGTAATTTCTTTGTTGCATTCAGGAATCAGTTAGGAGCACATATAGACCAAAAAGCAACTTCAACCTCGATCAAGTCTAATCATAAATCCCAATGAAACTCGAACCTAATGCCTGGGGATTCATCAATAATAACTTTTTCCTCTTCATAAACGGATGTGAATGCGAAGAAAAGATTGGCATCAGCCACCTAAATTTAACGTACGTATGAGGGGAGCACAAGCATCTGAATACCGCTTATTTCATTACTATCCTGACTTGAAACGGGAGACATCAAACTACTGGATTTCATTGATTAACCAAATTCACAGCGTATAATATGGTTCTTCTCAAAAAATTAAGCTTGGCCAACTGATCCTCACCATAGGGATAAAGTGAACTGAGAGTCTTGACTCATAGGAAATAGTGGCTTCATCGACACCACTAAAAGTAACCGTCAATGCCAAAATTATCAACCTAGCCAAAAAATAAATTTGACTATCTAAAAATAAAATTTTTTTAATCGTTCTACAGACTACTTAAGTGTTAAGTTGGCAGGAATCCTTAAGGTCATTTGAGATAAGAGAAGCTAGCCAATGTTAATATTACGAGTGATTTCGCTAGAAAACATGTGAGTGTGTTATATAGAAATGAATATGTAACTTGGATCATAAAAAGTCTTCAAGCGCTTTAAGGTTATGTTAAATAAGATATGTATACGATTAACTTTATCATCCTTTATGCTTCAGCTTACACGGCTGGATCTAAAGCATGTGGCTGCTCACCTCTACACAGAACTGTTTACGGCATCACGCGAGGCGAACTTACCTGACTTGATGTCTAATGTCCTACCGAAATCAGCAAATTCGTTTCCTTTGGTGCCTATAAAAAAGGATGAAAACACAATGACAGATGAAGAACTTGAGAGAATATCTGGAACAGTGTAAGTGCCTGGATAGGCGAAACTCGCATACGCCTGCAGATGTGGGAAGCCCCGGAGATTAAAGGAAACAAACATAAGGCCACCCAAAAGTGGTTCTAAGTGTCAAAGCCCCCTGCTTCTCAAAATCTAACTCTGGGCATGATAGTACAGAATGTATATTGGATGTATTCATTATATTTCGTTTAGGGTGATCAGGGGACTATTGGTAGCTGAATTTTCCCACAATATTATCGGTATAGATGACGTTTCCATTGAAATTCGCATAGCTTTGTCTTTCTAAAAGTTATTTTCATTTAGGATGAACTGCAGCTTCGACCTCGCCCTCAGTGGGATTCAAACCATGACCGTGCAGCGTAGTGGAAGTCTAGAAAGTCTACAAAAAAATAAGTATAGAATTTGTTTGACCTCCTTTTCACATCTTGCTCATATTGTCATAGCGATATTGTTACAAGTGGCTTGGACGATTTGCTCAGTCATAAATGTCATAATAACGCCCAGAGTAGAACTGTGGACTTGATATATTTCGGGAGATTTTGCCAGAATCCTAGTTGGCATCGGCAATGGGCCTTGCAATTCTTAGCAATAATCAAAAACTCGCCAAAGAGACAAGATGAATCCATCTCTTGACCGATTTTCCGCTGACTGAATTTGCCAGGAATAGGCAAGTTGGCGTGTGTAAGAGAAAGATAATGAAAATGAGCATGTTGGGTAGATGGATGTAACAAGACAAGAGGAGAGATACCGCAATCGTTAAGCCGTAAGTCA